GGGAAAGAGAGAAACTGAGCTGATGTGGCCAAATCAGCCTTCAAACCTGTGTTCCCCAGGAAGGGGGAAAAAAGAAAGACTAGAGACAGATCCAAAAATGGACATCAAAGGGTGAGTGTGAGGAAAAATGACACACTAAGAGCAAATGACTCTCCTGTTGCACCATTTATTTTGGCACTGTTAACACTGGCTCTTGGGCTCAGACTCCCTGCCAGCCCCTGCAGACACTTCACTTGAGGGGCTGCCTCTTAAATCTGCTCCAGCCTGTCTGCAAAGCCTGCAACAATTTGACTCTTGTAAAAACAACCAGATTTACAACTGAAAAAGTCAAGGCAGACCCTGGCTACCAGCAGACTAACATTCTGTCCATGAGTGACTTCAGAGCTGGGCAGTTAAAAATCAAGGATTTTCAACTATCCCAGCAGTTAGTTCCCAAAGGATGCAAACTGAGGGCTTAGGAAAAGGACTCAGAAGTGAAGATTTAGGTTGGATATTAGGAAAAATTTCTTCACTGGAAGAGTGGTCAAGCACTGGAACAGGCTGCCCAGGGAGCTGGTGGAGTCACCAATCCCTGGAGGTGTTTAAAAGACAGGGTACTTGGGGACATGGTTTAGTGGATGTGGTGGGGTTGGGTTGACAGTTGGACTTGGTGATCATAGAGGTCTTTTCCAACCCAAATAAATCTATGAGAGCCAGTGTGGTTTGTACATCCCCTAGTGGTGATTTTCAGTCACCTTCATGTTTTACCCCATGAGCATGTAAGTGGGAGCCTGTAGATCCCAACCCAGATCCTCAGCACTCAATGTCTCAAGGCCCTTTGGTTGCTGCTGAACGTGCTGTTACCACCACCTGGTCATGACCTGACTGTGATGTTTCATGGCTCAGCTTTTAAAGTGAAGATCTGCACAGGGAACAGAGCTCTTACCACTTCCTGCTTGCTTTCTGGGTTGAGGGTTTGATGAGTTGTTAGCCACACTCTGGAGCATCTTACTTTTCACTGGCTTCATGAGGGGCTCAGCAACAGGAAGCTTTTTCATGTCTGGGTTCTTCAAGATCTTTAGTCTCTTTGTTTCCAAGCCAGGATCATCAGGAGCTGAGGTTTCCTTCTGGACAGGTTCAGACTGGGTTTTGTGCACGAATTCTGCAGACAGGACCTCTGCACCTGGGACAAGGAAAAGGGAGGGTGTTTGCTTTGGTTTGAGACACACTCAGGTTAAAAAGGAGTAACTGAATCATAGAATCATGGAATGGTTTGGGTTGGAAGGGACCTCAAAGACTATCCAGTTCCAACCCCCCTGCATGGGCAGGGACACCTCCCACCATTCCAGGCTGCTCCAAGCCCCATCCAACCTGCCCTTCAACACTGCCAGGGATGGGGCAGCCACAGCTTCTCTGGGCAACCTGGGCCAGGGCCTCACCACCCTCATTGTAAACAATTTCTTCCTAATGTCTAGTTCAAATCTCCTCTTTTTTATTTAAAACCATCACCCCTTGTCCTATTGCTACAGTCCTACTACAAAATGTGTCCCCATCTTTCTTACATGCTGGCTTTAAGCACTGAAAGGTGCTCTAAGGTCTCCCTGGAGCCTTCTCTTCTCTAGGCTCAACACCCACCCCCCCCCAGCCTGTCTCCAGAGCAGAGCTGCTCCAGCCCTCCCAGCATCTCTGTGGCCTCCTCTGGCCTCTCTCCAACAGCTCCATGTCCTTCTGGTGTTGGGGACCCCAGAGGTGGCCCCAGCCCTGCAGGGGGGTCTCGGCAGAGCAGAGCAGAGGGGACAATCCCCTCCCTGGCCCTGCTGGTCACCCTGCTGGTGACAGCCCAGGACAGGGTTGGTTTCTGGGCTCCAGCACACACTATCAGCTCACGTCCAGTTTCTCATCCATGAGCACCCTCAAGCCCTTCTCCTCAGGGCTGCTCTCAATCCCTTTGTCATCCAGCCTGTGTTGATACTGGAGACTGTCCTGACCCAGGTGCAGGACCTTGCACTTGGCCTTGTTGAACCTCCTGAGATTCACACGGTCTCACTTCTCCAGCTTGACCAGGTCCCTCTGGAATGGCATCCCAACCCTCAGGTGTGTCAACTCCACCACTCAACCTGGTGTCAACAACCCTGCTGAGGGTGCACTCAACCCCCCTGTCTATGTCACTGGTGAAGACAGTAAACATTACTGGCCCCAAGACAGACCCCTGAGGGACATCACTGGTCACTGATCTCCATCTGGACATGGAACCATCCTGGATATTGCAAAATACCCAGCTAAGGAATGTGGAAGGACTGCTCTAGAAGTGATTGACAGCAGCAGAGTAGTCCTCAGTGACTTGATTTATGTATCTGATCTTACAAATGACCAGTAAGGAGTTATTAAGATTAACCATCACCTGTTAAGCTCATTAAAGGCCTGCCTTCCTGACCTAGGTTAGGTGGGGATAAGTCACTCTGATGTCTGCCTGGCACACTTGTGCCCTGAGGATACTTACTTGCCTCTCTAAGAGGCATGCAAGAACCTCTCCCAGATCCACCAGCATCACTCAGGCCTGAAGTGCCCCATGTGAAGTGGAGCTGCCTCCAGCCCAAGGTGGGCAGACACCCAGTGTCTCTAAGAAATCAGGGGGAGGCTCAGGCTTGCTCAAAAGGCTCACCCTGTCCTCAGCAGTGAGACAGGGGCCTTCAGAGGACAATTTATGCCATTGAGGCACCTCAAGTGAGCAGCTCAGGCCAGGTACCAGCTTCAGAAGAGTAAGCTGGGTGTGATCAGTCTCAGACTTCTTGTTTCCTCAAGGCCACAGCAGGAAACTTGAATCTCAGGGAGTCACAAAGTGACCACGTAGGGTAGCTGGTTATGTAGGCAGCCTGTAATGACCACAGCTTTGGCAATTGGTCTTTGCCTGAGCTATCAACGTGCCATGGACATGGGATGCAATCACCATGACCTGGCTGATGTCCCTGTGCACAGTCACTCATAAGTAAAGGAAGGCAACAGCATGGACCAGTGGACCACATTTCAGGCACCTTCATTCAAATCCCTTGTCATATAACCCTGGCCTCCTCCTTCCCAGGTGGAATGAGGAGACATCCTCACAGACCTCTTTGGATGCTCTCATGAGGTGCCTGGTTGCTCTGGGAACCCAGGAAGATGACAAGGGGACATGGCTTCTAGAGAACCCTTAGTATCCTGGCTGGATAGCCCAGAGAAGGAGGAGGAATTCAGTCCCATTTATGTAGCACTTACCTCTTTTCCTTCTGTGTGGAAACTGCAAATTGGCTAATTTCAGCATGGGCTCGTTGGAAGTGGCTGTGAGCCCTGGCTTTTTGGGAAAAGAGAAAGAAATGTTGATTTTCTTCTTGGTTCCTTTCCTGTTCCTGCAGCTGTCCCCCATAGGATGCACCTGCATCTTGAGGGGTGACCATTTCTTCCTGGTGCTGGTGACAACAGCTCGACTGGATTTCCTCCTGCTCTGCTGCACCCATAGCTTGCTGGACAAGTTGGTGTCTTTTGTGGGCCCTTCACCCCTCTGGTTCAGCCCCACTGTGGGCTTTGGGTTTTCACTTTTGACTTGTGTTTCCTCTGCTGTGTTGGGAGGGGAAGGGTCTGGTGGCACAGCTGGAGAGAAGTCCACCTTACAACCAGCCTCTGGATTGCAGCAAAGAGACTGAACAGCACCACTCAAACATTCTAAGGCTGCTGACATTTCCAGAGTGTAGCTGCTGGGGTTGGAGAGGTAACGTTGCAGCTGGGAGAAGGAGTATTTTTGCAAGTCATTAGTACATTCATCCTTGGTTGGTGAGAGAAGAGGAGAAAGGGGAACTGTGTTGGCTTGGCCAGAGGTGGGCTGTGGATTTTGATGAAGCTTTGTGTACTCCTGCAAGTGCTGTTTGATACACACACTGGTCCCAGCTGTGTCCCCCCACGAAGAACTGGTGGCTTTTTGTAAGGCATAGTGAAGTCCAGGCAAAACTGAGGCTATTTTTAATGAGATGTCACTCTCTTCCCTTTCATCTTTTGGATCATGCTTCTCAACTGTGAAAGGAACAAAATTTTACTCATATTAAAAAAGGATTCATGTCCCCCAGTCACCTCCCTGCTATATTCTCAGAGAAGATTGGAAGCTATGAAAAAGCCCCAGAAGCCAACCTACAAAAAAGCTACCCCCAGGGGCCACATCCTGGTTTGACAGATGCTTGTAATGGCTGGAGGGAAAAAAGAATTGCACGTGGGAGTCAAAAAGGGATTAAAGGAAGATGAAAGGCTGCTCTTGTATCAGTTAGCCCTGTTCTCCTGCAAGCTACAGGGTGAAACTGCACACTTCGTGGTCTAAGTCCCTTTACTCCAGCAATTCTCTCTAAATCCAACATTTAGGACAGAGATTTGAAAAGACTTTCACTTCACTCAGATGTGTTGGTTTTGTCCCTGCTCAGATGCAACTCCCAGCAGCTCCATCTCTGCCTGCTGTCAGCGTGGGTGGACACACTGGTCTTCTGGAGTGGAAAACACAGACTTCCCCAGGCAGACCTGGGGAGCATGTCAAGAAAGATCATAACCCTCTGGGTGATTCTTTAAAGCTGAAGGACTGACCCTACTGGGAACAGCTGGTGCTTCTCATTTTAGCAGGACTAACGCCCCCCCATGGACAGCACACAGCAGCTTCCAAGCTCAGGTCCACGGTGATCCCTGGTAATGGTTGGACGTGACGATCTTACATTTTTTTTCCGACCAGGATTCAGTGATTCAGTGACATGAACGACTCTCAAGGCTCGAGGGTGCCCACCCTCACCATGGGAGAAGGCTCTGCCTGGCACAGCAGGGTCCCCTCAGTGTCTGGAGATGCCTGGAGAGCCACTGGGACATGTGGAGCTCCCTTTGTATACAAGTCAGATGTATCCAGCTTCATCCTCTGCAGCCCCACAGTCTGATCTTGGCTCTGGGCACCTGCAGGCTCAGCACGTTCTGATCTGACTCCAAGATTTCTCTTGGCTGCAGAGCCAGGCTGACAACCCCAGTGCCCCTCCCTGTCACATCCCTTCCCAGCAAGGTGAAGGAGTTTCTCTTCCCCCTCTTGAACCTGCCTTGCACTGGCAAGCCCAGGAATCCCTGTGAGGTGGTTCCCAGCTCCTGCCTCTACTGCTGGGGCACATCTGCACAGCAGGCTGGTTACCCTGCCCTACATTCCTGGACAGGAAGGGAACAGCTTCAGAGGCTGCTTGTTTCAAAATGGGAGACATTATTCATGCTGAATCCGAGTCGAGTGACTTCACATTCCTTCACTCTCCTCTTCTCTGGGCATCTCC